TGGGCAACACAGAGAGAGAAGGATGGTGTCCACCCTGGGGGAGGGCCTGGGGGAGGGCCTGCACGCCCACCCGCCTCGCGGCAGGGTCTGCGCTGACCAGCGGTGCTGTCCCAGGCCCCCTTCCCAGGAGGCCCCCGCACAGGGGGGTCCCCAGCGCCCCTTCCCAGGACAGGAGAGTGAGGGTGTGTGCAGCCCACGCCCACGTCCAGGGCCAGGCCGCAGGCCTCTCGCGCTCACAGAGCCCTGGCGCTCTCCCACACGGTCGTCAGCCTGACCGATCCCAGCGCCCGTGTCCCAGTCCGGAAACCCAGCCTTCCCGCCCGCCCGCAGAGCCTCTCAGTCCCCCCTGTGGGCACCTGAACCCCAGGAGCAGGGCAGAGGCCTGACATGCCAGGCCACTGGCACAGTGCCTGCTGGCACCAGAGTGGCGCGCGGCTGTGGAGCTATGAGGGGAAAAGGACCGAGGGGGAGCGGACGGAAGGGGTTAGTGCAACCAGGACAGGCCCCGCTGGGGCCACAAAACCACGTGAGCACGTTTAAGGCACGGGGTCAGCCGGCGTGAACGGTCCCCACTGGCACTGCGGCCGGGAAGCTCCCGGGACCCTCGGTGACCCACAGGCCACAGTGACAGGGCCAGCAGGTGCTGTGGCCCGTCCGGGAGCTCGTGGGCACCGCCAGGCAGAGCCGAGGGCACCACGCCTGAGCCCCTGGAGAAAGGCCTCAACCAGCCCCGAGCACAGAGGGAAGCGCCCGTCAGACCCACGGGGAAGGCGGAGACCAGGAGAGGGACCCAACCCAAAAGCCGGTTCCTGGGAAGATCAATGCGATTGCTAAACCTCCGCCGACGAAGAAGAGGAACAGCGGGCGTGCTGGGCACAGGGGAGCGGCTGCCCGCAGGGCGCTCGGACACGGTGAGCACAGCCTGAGACCCGTGCACGAGTTCGGAGAACCTGGGCCACAGGCGCCCACGCCCCCCCGGGACGAAGACACCGTCAAACAGCCGCGCCCACTAAGGTGAGTTGACAGCTAGAAACCGTCCGCAGGAGAAACCCAGGCAAACTGACCCAGAGGCTAAGGCACTGACTCTACGTCAGATGTTCCAGAAAACAAGACCCAGGGAGCCGGAGTCCCTGGCTGCAGGAGCACCGCACACAGCAGGTGTGGCCCCACACACGGACCCTCCCGGCAGCGGCCTGGCGAGGCCCCGGGGCCACACGCGTGTCCCCGTCAGAAATCAACCATCGCCAGTCGCCAGCCCGGGTCAGGAAGACCTAAACCTCCTCGACTGACCAGGAAACACCTGACCAACGCCCATCCCCGTGCGACGGAGGGAGCCCGCTGAGCCCGATGGCGCGGCGCAGGGCCCAGGGGGAGGGAGAGCGGCCTTCTTGCCGGCGGGCCCCGTGCCCCGAGCAGCTCCTGGACCAGTGAGCTGGGCAGACCCTACAAGTGCGGCACGTGAGCAGCAGCGTCGTTCCACAGCAGCAGCTAGCAGGAAGCCAGTTTTTAAAACATTTGCACACTAGGGAAGCTCAGTGTATTTTTTTATTTGAGAGAAGAAGGGAGAGGGAGAGATAGAGACATCCACGATGAGAGAGAGTCATGGATCGGCTGCCTCCTGCGCGCCCCACACTGGGGATCGAGCCCGCAGCCCGGGCCTGTGCCCTGACCCGAATCGAACCGTGACCTCCTGGTTCATGGGTCGACCCTCAGCCACTGAGCCACGCCGGCCGGGAAGGAAGCTGATGTTTAAATTCTGTTTACAGTGGCTCCAAAGCAGAAAAGGAAAAACCTAAATCTAACGAGAACCAGGGCAGGATCTGAGCTGAAAGCTGCGAGGACAGCGGCCGCAGTGAGTGAGGAGGGGCCTGGCCGGCCGGCCGGTCCAACGCAACTGCAGGGCGGCCGCAAGCCTTTCCTGCCGGCCTCCGCGCTGCGTTTAAACTCCTGGGACCCGCAAAGCGGCCGAATGCGGGGACCCTGAGAGGAGCGGGGCCGGGCGGCCCTCCGCCCCCGCCCCCCCTCCGCCTGCAGAGGTGCCGTGAGCCGCGCCGGGTGCCCAGGCACCGGAAATGGGAGCTGGGTGAATTCAGCTCCTTCCGGGGGAAAGCTCTGCCCTGTGGAAAGCACGCGGAGAGCGGGAGGAAAAGGTGCAAGTCCCAGCGGAAGGGGCTTCGTCCAGGACAGACAGAGAACGGTCAGAACCAACCGTGAGAGGTAACAGCCCGCGGCACAGCCGCTCGGCGCCGGGGGACGAGGGGCGAGTGCAGGCAAGCGGCTGGACGCACAGGCTGGTGGCCCTGTTCCCCGGGAAGCCTGGCACACAGGAGCCTGGCACACAGGTGTAAGCCGAGGGGAGGAAACGGGCGAAAAGAGCGTCACAGCCCGGCGGCCTGGCCCGGAGGCTGAGCGCCAACCCCGGAACCAAGAGGTCGCAGTGTGTGTGCCGGTTGGGCACAGGCCGGTTGCGGCTCGATCCCCAGTGGGGGGCGTGCAGGAGGCCGTCGCTGATGGTGCTCCTCTCCCATCGATGTTTCTTTTTTTATTCATCCTCACTGGAGGGTATTTTCCCACTAATTTCAGAGAGGAAGGAAGAGAGGGAAAGACAGAGAGACATCCATGTGAGAGAGACACGTCGACTGGCTCCTCCTGCACGAGCCCCAGCCAGGGCCCAGGCCAGAGAGAAGCCTGCAACCGAGGTATGTGCCCTTGACCGGAATCGAACCCGGGACCCCTCAGTCACAGGCCAACGCTCTATCCACTGAGCCACCCCGGCCAGAGCTCTCATCGTTTCTCTCTCTTCCTCTCTCTGAAAATCAGTGGGAACATATTAAACACTGTCACGACTCTGCATGCCAGGTGGGCACTTGGGCAGGCCTGTGCCTGTGTCACCGCCACGCTGGCCACGTGAGGCTCAGGCGGTGACGCTGAGCGTAACCAATTGGAAACTTCCTTTAATTACAGAAAGGAAATGGGCGAGACTTGGACACGTCATAGAGACACTTGGGGGGACACAGCCCGTGAGCTGTGCGCATCGTCATCACCAGCCAGGAGCGCAGGCCACGCCACGAGGGGCCGCACAGCCCCTGCAGGACCCCAGCCCAACGCCGGGAGGCGGGAGGCAGAGCTCTGTGTCAGGTGGCATCAGCACTGGCCGTGCCCTGCACCTGCCGTTTAAAACGTCCTTTTCCAGACGTTAGAGAAGCCACGGTCCTAAGTGTACCTCAACCCATCGCCAACGCGCTGCAGCAAGGCCCTCCAGGCTGAGTAACACCCACGGGTGGCCCTCGCTGGTGTGGCTCAGTGGACAGGGCGTTGGCCTGTGGACTGCAGGGTCCCGGATTTGATGCCGGTCGAGGGTACATGCTCCGGCTGTGGGCTCGATCCCAGGTAGGGGCGTGCAGGAGGCAGCTGATCCATGATTCTCTCTCAGCAGTGATGTTTCTCTCTTTCTCCCTCTCCCTTCCTCTCTGAAATCAATAAATTAAAAATAGAACTTATTCACATATTTAAAAAAATAACTTCCCAAACGGGGCTCCACTCAGAGAGCAAGCAGGGCGGTCATGCCCAACTGCACCCCAGGCCCTCTGTGCGCCCAGGACAAGGGTGCCTTCACCTCGCTCACTCACTCATTCATTCATTCACTCCCTCACTCATTCACTCACTCGCTCCCTCTCTCACTCCCTCTCTCACTCACTCATTCACTCAATCGCTCACTCACTCGCTCATTCACTCACTTGCTCATTCACTCACTCACTCACTCGCTCACTCATTCACTCGCTCACTCACTCGCTCACTCATTCACTCGCTCACTCACTCGCTCACTCATTCACTCGCTCACTCACTCGCTCACTCACTCGCTCACTCACTCACTCACTCATTCACTCACTCGCTCACTCGCTCGCTCACTCGCTCGCTCATTCACTCGCTCACTCACTCGCTCACTCACTCGCTCACTCACTCGCTCACTCATTCACTCACTCATTCTCTCACTCGCTCACTCATTCACTCACTCATTCACTCCCTCACTCATTCACTCACTCACTCCCTCTCTCACTCCCTCTCTCACTCACTCATTCACTCAATCGCTCACTCACTCGCTCATTCACTCACTTGCTCATTCACTCACTCACTCACTCGCTAACTCATTCACTCACTCGCTCACTCACTCACTCACTGACCTCCTCCCCAGGGCGGTTCCCAGATTCGCCTGTGCTGGGTGTCAGCCCTTGGCCCGGGGACAGGGAGCCGCTCCACTCCGGCAGAGCCACGTGCTCAGCACTGGCCCCCCATGGCACGGGGTCTGGGGGGCATCTTCAGGCTGAGCGGGGGGCCGCGGTGCGCGGGCTGTGTGACCGGCCAAGGCCAGGCTTTGTTCTGAAAGAGTGATTTGTGGGACCCCATGGGGACACTCTGTAGCCCCCGGCATTGCCAGCTGGAGGCACCGGGGCCCCCATGGCAGCGTTGGGCACGGAGGAGCGCGTTGATGGGTTTCTGGAAAATGCAGCCGGCCGGGCGGGCCCTGTGAGAATGCTGACTCCCGCCGTGGCCCTCCAGGCCCACGGGACACGGGACACGGGACACGGGACACGGGACACGGGCCAGGCCTCTGCGGTCCCAAACGTGCTGACTGTGTCTGTGGGAGGGAGGACTGAGGGGCCTTTGTTTCTGGGCTGGCCTGTCGGTGCCATCGCGTGTCTGTCTCAGTGGGCGCTGGGCTCTGCAGTGGCAGCCGGCCAGGGGGCCCACACCCCATCCGCCTCCAGGGAGAGGATGGGGGCACCCCCGGTCCTGCACGGCTCTGGGGGGCCCGCCGGCGGCCCTGAGGCGGCTGTGCAGAGCGAGGCTCCAGCCCGCCCGCAGGCCGCGCTGGTCACCTCCCCCGGGCTGGGCCGCTGCCACGCTCGCTGGCCCAGCGCAGCCTTCTCTGGTGTCTGGGCCTTATCTGGACACGCTGCCTCCTGCTAATCAGGAGCGGTCAGAGGTGCCTCTCCATGCCCACGGCCAGCACGCGCCTGCAGGAGGCAGGGGCAGTCGGGGCTCCGTCTGGGGAGGCTGGGACTC